TCATCGCGTTTTAATTTAGAGTCGCGGTTTCCATTTCGTGTTGCGCAACAAAAATGAAAGTGCACGGGAGTTTTCCATTTTCAATGAAATAAATTAGCGTCGCGATAGTGAATGTACTGCTCGCGTTTACTTGTCTATTTCTTAAAATAGTGTTGCGCAAGCACACGGTCCACTCGCGCGTTTGTTTGGAATATGTATCGAGTGGACCACCATTTATCGAATGTGTCTGCTCTTTTTATTTTTTTTTCAGATGTCAATCCAAGCTTAACACACTCTCTCTCTACAGGTCACAGATTGAGCCTTACTTAGTCGCCTAGCGGGTTGAAAACCAGTGTGAGGTTTGAAAAAATCCACTTCTTAATAAATATTTAATATTTTTAGAACTAACGACAACAAGATCTTTTGATAATAGGTATGTAACAACGATTTTTAGAATTACAAAGAGCTTCTTTTTCAAATTTTTGAAAAGGTATTAATGCTAATGCCGACAATAGTGTGTTTAGTCTATTTCAGATTTTTATGCAAACGAAATAATGGAAGAAGGGTGCCACCAATTTAATTGAAGGCATGGTCTTGTTAGATTTTCATCGAGGGATATCATCGAGGGATGACGCACATAATTAAACGTGTGAGATTATTTATTTACTTACTTATTTATTAAGTCGTTATTTAGTAAGGCGTTATTTATTAAGGCATTATTTACTAAGTCATTATTTATTAAGTCGTTATTTATTAAATCGTTATTTATTAAGGCGTCATTTATTAAGGCGTCATTTATTAAGTCGTTATTTATTAAGGCGTTATTTATTAAGGTCTTAGTTAGTAAGCAAAACTTGTTGTTGTAAGAAAGGGAGCTATAACGAATTCTTGCTTCGTTCTAACTCCTCTTCGGGTCTCCAGTCACGGCAACCTCCACGTGGTGAGACTCGGGCAATCAATGTAATTTTCGATTTCCGATCAGTTATAAATTGAAAGAAAACTCGATCATTCTATAACAGATTCGAAATCGATAATTACATCGAGCTAATGGCTGTGAAGCAGGACTGGAGAAAAAAATAGATTTTTTAAACAGTAAGTAGATTATAAATAATTTTATCTTTCTATGTAATACAGAATTTTTTTTTTTGACTAATAAACTGTTTTTGAAATAGTAGTTATACGTATGGAAATAACATTTCAAATATATTTAAGTACGTAATAACCATGTGTAACTAAAATATTTCAAAAATTTCCAAATTCTATATTACATGAGAAGATAAAAATATTTATAGTCTATTTGTCTACTTACTATTCCGAAAATCTATTTTTCCTCAGCTCTGCTATGAAGTAAACGATTTAAATGGGAATAAAAAAACGTTCCAAGCTGAGGAGCAATATGAGCGAAATTACTGTAAAGCCTTAATAAATAACGCTTTCATAACTAATAACATATCAACCTCTACTACGCAAATAACATTAAATAATATTTTGTTATAATTATAGATACGATATCTGTTGTGCAATCTGTTCTGAATTTTCAAGTACAAACGTCGTCTCTATGTTGTTGCAAATGTAATCTCGGTTTACTAAATAGATAGCTTACAAAAAAACCTAAATTACTTTTGTAACAACTCTATGTCGCAGAATTAAAATCCACGCAAGCATTGCATGCAATGCCTTCTTTTGCAATGCTAGCACTGTAAAGTTTATAAAATTAACATTGTAAATACCTATCTGCAAAACAAAACTATTGCTATGTGTGAACCATTACTAATTATCTAATTAGTAAAAATAATTGCTCAATTGTCCATTAAAATAATTACACCTTATATCATATTTCTACAGTACATGTGTTTCATGAGTATTATTTCTAATATTTAAATGTTTGTGTCGCATGCATTTATTGCCTCCAAATAATATGCAGCACTCGTAGTAGAAATGAAATATACAGGATATTCGCTTCTTGCTAACGTGTCTATGTTTTGTGAACTATCGTATTGCGCTGAGCACAACACGAAATGGTAAGGGCCCCAATAAGCCCCCCCCCCCCCCAAC